TCATCAAACAAGTATAGATCTCATGTTTACATGCATTCTAACCATTAAAACCATGAAAACATGCATAGATCTATAGTCTACATGCATTCTAACAATTAAAATCATGCAAACCTGCAAAGATCTATTGTTTACATGAACTTTAACAATTAAAATCATGTAAACAAGCAACAGGCACGGCGATATACAAGCAACCAGGCTCTGATACCACTGTTGGGTTCCCTTCGGGTTCCTAGCATGCGATCTCATCGATCTAGGGTTTGGCTTCTAGGTTTCATGCATCGGAAGGAAAGATCTAAACCAGGGTTTGGATTCTAGGTTTCACGTAGTGGAAGGAAAGATCTAAACCTAGCCAAACGTCACACAAAACCAATTGTGTAATAACCCGAACAATCGTGTATATCGTCGTGGGATTCGAATACTTACCTCGTTCTTTCAAGATCTGGAAGTATCAATCGATCCAGGGCCTGTTTTAATCACCAAGAGTTGAAAGCACAACTCCTCTACACGTATCCACACCGGCGGGATGAATTCCAACGCTTTGGAATGTATCTGCTAGGATTTGTGAAGAGAAAACCGATGTCCTTGACTTGGAATCGATATTCCAATCTCTAGAACTCGAAATCAAGCTTCTCTAAGCTCTCATTAGAATCTAGGACGTCTGAGGTTCTTACTCTAGGGTTTGTGGCGGGGCTCATATTAATTAGGATTGCCCAAAACCCTTAAAACGCGAAAAAGGAAACTTTCCCCGAAAGTCGGACCGTCCGGTCTAGGTCCATTAGGGATGGATCACATGTGAAGAGAACAACGCGAGAAAAGAGCGACAGAGCGATCTGGAAGAGTTCCAGCTGGCCAGACCGTCCGGTCCAGACCCGGACTGGACGGTCCAGCCGTTCTGGAACGTCCGTTCCAGTGGAGAACGGACGGACCGTTCCGCACGGTCTGGCCAGCTGGAACTCTTCCAGATCGCTCTGTCGCTCTTTTCTCGCGTTGTTCTCTTCACGTGTGATCCATCCCTAATGGTGTGTGACCCTGTAGGCCCATTCGAAGTGGCAGTGGCTTCGGAAACCTTTCCCGAACCACAAGTCATGGTTAGCCTCTAACAAGACGCCATGACTACCCACCTAGAATAAAGTTAGAGGTGATCTAACAAAGCCAGCAATAGTTCGAATTCTGATCCTTTGTCTCACGATGTCGTATGTTGAACAAGGGCATGGTATGAGCCACCCTTCAAGTTCAACCGCTTACTCGTCTAGGCAAACCGACTGATAAAATAGATGTACATTCATCTATAGCGTGGCCACGCATTTTCACAGTCCGATTTCCACGAGGGGCCCAGCGACATCTCTCCTGCGTAGGAGGTGACAAGTCCCGTATTGCATGTCTACTATCTGCATATGATTCGTGAACGTATCTGAGCAACGCCGTTATGATCATCCGGTTAAAGACGACGTTTGACGCAGTCAAGACACGTCACTCCTCATATCAGATACTCTAGACATCTCAGGTCTGAGGATCCAAGAATGAACCGCTGTATGAGATTCAAGTCATGACTCATGTCCATGTGACAATCTCATGCGGGTCATCCAGTAACTCGTTCCAAACGAGAACCCATGATTGTGATTTGCATCTAATGCATATGATCATAATCATCTATCACACATCATGCTGGTCTTAATTCATCATTGTTCCCACAATGATAACTGACCAGGGAATTTAGAATCATCTGCAATGATTCAAGGATATTTACCGTAATATAACAAACATGCTAATCATATAACGGGAAAAGTAATGCATTCATAAGTCAATGAATCAATACAAAGTCAAAATGTCACATCATGGATCATCCTAGAGCATCACAACCAACACACGCATCATTACGTGGATATCCAGGAGTTATTACATTTGGCCATCACCATAGAGAAGCAACTCAAGAGGAAAGGCAAGTCAACACAACGGTTTGGTTCCTCATCATACCAACGCCCCGAGAACAGCCGGTTAGACAAGCCGACATTTACCCCACGACCTGAAACTAAGGGCGAGACAAGACCGACGCCTTACGTCCCAAGACACAAGGTATCCCTGACACTCTGCTTCGTAACAGGGATATTAAGTGTTTCAGATGTCAAGGTCGGGGACACTATGCCAGAGACTGTCCTAACAAGAAGGTAATGGTGATTCGAGCGGATGGAGAAATCGAGACTGAGTCAGAAGGTGAGGAAGTGACAGAGAAGATGGTGGTTGATTCTGACGATGATTATGTGGAGTACGGAGCAGCAAGAGGAGATCTCCTAGTCGCAAGGAGAGCCCTTAACCTGCAAGTCAAAGAAGAGGCCAGCGTGCAACGGGAAAATATTTTCTATACCCGAGGGATTGTGCAGAACAAAGTCTGCAGCATTATCATAGATGGCGGGAGTTGTACTAACGTGGCAAGCACATTACTGGTCGAGAAGCTGAAGTTGCCAACAACGAGTCATCCAAAGCCTTACAAGCTTCAGTGGCTCAATGAGAGCGGTGAGACCAAGGTGAGGAGGCAGGTTCAAATACCCTTCACCATTGGGGGGTATGTAGATGAAGTTCTCTGCGACGTTGTCCCAATGCAAGCAGCACACATATTATTGGGTAGACCATGGCAGTTCGACACTCGAGCTCACCATGATGGCTTCACCAACAGGTATTCATTCGAGTTTAAGGGACAAAAGATCCAGCTGACACCTCTCACGCCGAAGGAGGTGTATGAGGATCAGGTCAGACTACTCAAGTCAGAAAAGCAAAAGGCAATGACGAGTAAAATTGAGAAGGGGCAGAGAGCGGATGGTGCGACTCAAAGTGTCAACCCGAGTGATATTAGTGAGACCCCACTCGTGACAGCGAGTGTTCTATTTTCTACTAAAGCGAGAGATCTCAAGAGAGCATTGGTTACGCATCAGCAGATCCTTGTAATTGTGTATAAGGATGTGTTATTGACTAACGAGGCGATATCTACTTTGCATGTTGTAGTGTCCTCGGTTTTGCAGGATTATGAAGATGTGTTCCCCGAGGATGTACCCGACGGTTTGCCCCCGCTTCGAGGGATAGAGCACCAGATAGACTTTGTGCCAGGAGCCACCATCCTGAACAAGCCGGCATACAGAACCAACCCGGAGGAAACAAAGGAGCTCCAACGACAAGTGACTGAGCTCATGGAGAGGGGATACGTGAGAGAGAGTATGTCACCCTGCGCTGTACCAGTTATACTCGTGCCTAAGAAGGATGGGTCTTGGAGGATGTGTGTTGATTGCCGAGCGTTCAACAATATCACGGTAAAGTATCGTCATCCCATCCCTAGGTTAGATGATATGCTTGATGAGTTACATGGGTCCACTGTGTTTTCTAAGATAGATTTGAAGAGTGGATACCATCAGATTAGGATGCGAGAGGGGGACGAGTGGAAAACTGTGTTTAAGACAAAGCTAGGATTGTACGAATGGTTGGTTATGCCATTTGGTTTGACTAACGCGCCTAGTACATTTATGCGGTTGATTTTCATATTCTTCGCAGGTTCATAGGCAAGTTTGTGGTTGTATACTTTGACGATATTCTAGTGTACAGTCGATCGATAGAAGAGCATGTAGAGCATCTTAGGGTTGTCCTAAGTGTTTTGAGGGAGGAGAAACTTTATGCTAACATGAAGAAGTGCTCGTTTTTTTCTGATAAGCTTGCCTTCCTAGGATTTGTCGTGAGTGCACAGGGTATACAGGTCGATGAAGAAAAGATCGAGGCTATCAAAAGCTGGCCGAGCCCGAAGACAGTGGGAGAAGTGCGCAGTTTCCATGGACTAGCGGGATTCTACCGGAGGTTCGTCAAGAACTTTAGCACTATAGCCGCACCTTTGACACAGATCATCAAGAAAGACGTAGGTTTTCAGTGGGGGGCGGTGCAAGAAGAAGCCTTCCAAACTCTCAAAGCTAAGTTGATTAATTCTCCTCTACTCACATTACCAGATTTCACTAAGACGTTCGAAATAGAATGCGATGCTTCAAGAATCGGTATTGGTGCTGTTTTGATGCAGGAGAAGCGACCAGTAGCGTACTTCAGTGAGAAACTAAGTGGGGCACAACTGAGCTACCCCACCTACGACAAGGAGATGTATGCACTTGTGCGCGCGTTACAAACGTGGCAGCACTATCTTTGGCCCAAGGAGTTCGTGATCCATACAGATCATGAGTCACTCAAGCATCTCAAGGGTCAACACAAGCTCAATCGAAGACATGCAAAGTGGGTGGAGTTCCTAGAGACCTTTCCATATGTTATCCGATACAAACAAGGTAAGGAAAACATAGTAGCTGATGCCTTGTCTAGGCGTTACACATTGATATCTACCTTGGATGCTAGGTTGCTAGGATTTGAACACATCAAGGAATTGTATGAATCTGATCTTGATTTTTCTGATGTGTTTATGGCTTGTGCCAAGGCTGCAATGTTGGGTTTCCTGGGATCTCTAGAGCGAATCCTATTCCTAAGAGATCGATTCTAGGGTTTGCGCAGCGGATATAAAACAAAATTTGATAAACCCCTAGAACCATGCTTCTACAGAATCGTAGAATCGTTAGAACGCTTACCTCAATCGATCCGGGGCCTGTCTCTATCGATGAATCGTTCTGATCACGAAAGGCAGGAAGATTACCTCGCCCTCCACACGTATCCACACCTCGGGATGGATTCCAACGGTTGGAACTTGTCTGCTAGGACTCGAATCTCTATTCGATTTTGTGCTTCAAGAAAACGGACTTCGATCAACCTCTCAAAACCTTGGATCTCACCAAAGTTCTCTAGAAGTCTGCCAAAGTCGGCTCAAAGAGTTCTCCACTTCATTAGGGTTTTAATCTCTATCTTATATAGTGATTTAACCCTAATTTCGGTTTAATTTTCGAAAAGACTGAAGCCCAGAACGGACGGTCCAGAAAAGCACTTGGACCGTCCGTTCTAGTGTTCAGAACGGACGGTCTGCCTAAACGTGGACCGTCCGTTCCACCACGTAGAACGGACGGTCTGCGTGCTAACGTGGAACGTCCGTTCCAATCTCCAGAACGGACGGACCACACGTCTGGACCGTCGGGTCTGCTTGTACTTTTCAGTACGCGCTAGCTCCTGAGTGCATTCGTCTCTCCCTGTGTGTGTGACCCTGTAGGCTCATTCGATATAGCAGTATAATCCGAAGTCTCTATTTCGGATATACAAGTCATAGGCGGTCTCTAGCAAGACACTATGACTACCTAGCTCGAATAGAGTTTGTTCGTGATCATACGAACGCCAGTGATGATTCCGGTTGATGATCCTTTTGTATCGCGATATCATACGTCGAACATAAGGCATGGACAAGCCACCTTATCTGATTCGACTGCTTTCTCGTTCACTGAGTTCGACTGTCTGAAATAGACGACGTTCGTCTATAGTGCGGCCACACATTTCTACAGTCTCGCTCACACGAGGGACCCAGCGATATCTCTCTCTTTTACGAGAGGTACAAATCCCGTCTTGACTATCTACAATCCAGTACATGATTCGTTTCGTACCTGATACACGCCTTTATAGTCCTCCTGTTACGCAGGACGTGAAACTGTCCTTTCCAGTAGTGTTGCTGCTGTCTTTTTTGCAGCTATTGGTGGCACTCCTTCCTTGATCTCATATGCCGGTGATGGTTCCGAAGGATGAACTGGATATGGACAGTTTGGGTTTCC